TTTTTGTCATTGTTATCGTCATTATTAACATTCTCAAGCTTGCCGTTGTCAACCTCCATATTGAAGAAGCGACACTGGCTCTGTTTAGTTCTGTTGTTAAATGACAATAGTGCTGCGTCAAATTCATGACCCTAATATAGAATGTTTTTGAGAAAAAAAACAAGAAAAACAAAAACCTCTCATAGAAGTACATGTGTTCTTTGTTAATCGGCATAACAGCTCTTTAAATGTTTGAGTGGGTTATTAACTCTCATGGCGTAGTGAAAACATTTTATTATTATTATTATTATTATTATTATTATTATTATTATTATTATTATTATTATTATTATTATTATTATTATTATTATTATTATTATTATTATTATGTTATGTCCGATCAGCAGCCGAAGGAAAGCAATGTTTTGGCACATTTTGAACCACCTTATACGAATCAGAACCATACATTTTCGGGGTTTTTAAAAGTATGAATGCCATTGCGTGTCGTTTTAAGTTCCAGATTAAGGAAACGGAATTAAAACGCCTGCACGAATAACAAAGCAGTTCCCCCAAAACAGCAAGTCTTCAAGCGTTGTCGAACGGCCCGAATGCGGGTCCTCTTTGAGTTAAAGATATTAATAACAATAACATTGTATGAGACGTGGGAAGCTTTTTCGTTCATGGGAAAAGGAATATTTTTAGATAATAAAATCAATAAAAATGTATTTCTGCAGGTACGTTTAGAGAAGTAGGGTTACAGAAACAACAGAGGGAATGGAAGCATGTAATATTATAATATAAATATACAACATGTACCTTCCAGGGTCGCCCCCCCCCCCTAGGACCCACCCCAGCGTGAGATCCAAGTATGTGTTTGTGTGTGTATGAGTATGTGGTTGTGTGTTTACGTTCGTGTGTTTGTATTTGGATGCGTCTGTGTGTATTCTTGTGTATCTTTGTTGGTCCACTATGACGTTTTGGCTAGGCTTCTCGGAAAAGCAGTCTTCGTAGGACATAAAACAGTTAGAAGGGTGGGTGGAAAGGTGTGTGTGTGTGTGTGTG